TCATTTTTGAAAAAAGTGTTAATAATAAACTCTCTAGCCAGGCATGGTGGTGCACGCCTGTAATCCCAGCATTCGGGAGGCTGAGGCAGGAGCGTTGTTGCGAGTTTGAGGCCAGCCTGGGCTACAAGTAAGCTCAAGGCCAGCCTGAACTGCATAGTGAGACCCTGTCTCAAAAACATAAAAAAAAATAATAATAATAATTAAAAAAAAAAAACCACTCTCTAATTATACATCTTTTCAGTGTGCCCAAAGACAACACAAATAATGTTTAGGTAATACTCAAAATAATTTATAAAATGCAAACAATAAGCTAAGAAGAACTTAGAACACTTACATCCAGGATTCAGATCCACGATCCAGAATGTGATTCACCAAGTCAATAAAATGAATGTGGCAGGAATATCTAATTTTTAAGGCTTTAAAAGAGGCACTGTAGAGCATTTCCGTATTTTTCCTATTGGGGGGAAATATCAGGACTAGGACTCACTCTCTCCTTATTTCACCTTCGAATAGAAAAAAAAGAATGTTCCTCTACAAAAGTTTCGGTTTGCCTTTTTAATCTCTTCAGGTGTTTCTTAACTCTACGTTCACTTGGCGAGGTGTGGTAGAGGTCAATTACTGTGGAATGCACAGGCAGGCTCCGGAAAAATGTGTCTCTGTAACCAAGGGGAACATTTAACTTGGGTGTATTTGTTCATATATATATATATATTTTTTTGTTTGTTTGTTTGTTTTTCTCCGGTACCGGGAACCAAACTCACGACCTTGCGCTTGCCAGGCAGGCGCTTTTGCCGCTGAGCTAAATCCCCAGCCCTGTTCATATTTGATTATTCTGGGAGAGCGCGTCGCTATGTACTTCTGGTGGTCCTGGAACTCACTAAGTAACTATGTAGCCCAGGCTGGGAACTCGCAGGATCCGCCTGCCTCAGCCTCATCTTGCGCTGAGAATTTACATTAAGGCTGCCCTGTAGGTAGCCGTGGCTACGTAGCACTTGAATTGTGGCAGGAATACTTAATTATGAAGACTTTAAAAGAGCCACTATAGAGCATTTCCGTATTTTTCATATTATTTACTGTTGATTGATTTTGTTATATGACCTGAAAATACATT